ATGGCTCCTGCTCTGCTTGAGCCTAACTGCCTGCTCTATCAGAATGATGTGACCACATTAAAGTCAACTGTTGGAAAACTAACTTAGAGTCAAGAGTAGATTAACAGCCTCAAAAGAAATTAGATTCATGATTGAACTGAGGATAACATGACACCCTATTGGGTTGAAACAGGAGGCTTCCTCCCTTTAGTAGGTTTCTGGGCTTCTGACATAGTGCTGTCATGGATGAGAACCAGCTAAATGTAGCAGCTATAGGGAAATCTGCCCCCAAGAATCTACTCCTCTCTTTTTGGCTGTGAGTGTAGAAAATTAAGAGTTAACTGTGGGGCCCAGTGGTATATTTTGCTTTTTTGTTTAGCATGTTAGAAGTATCATGGATACTGTGAAAAGCTCAGAAAGGCTGCTGGCATAGCTCTTAGGACATTCCAGAAGTACTGAGGACCTTTCCAAGATGGTTGGGTGCCCCTCTCTGCTCTGTATACTGTAGCTTCTGAGTGTAGCCTGTGATGGGTCAGATGCTGGGTAACTATGTGAAGCCTTCAACTTGGTCCCTTAACTAAAGTGAGTAACTTTACTTCTGGGTTGGTGGTAAGGAATACCAGCTTTGTTTTGTTCTTTCTTGGACTGCCCCCAAGGGCTGGAATGGGGATAAGTTCATGTTTGAGTGATTGAAATTCCAAGTCAACAATCCTTATCACAAACTATTAAGATCATATGTATTTCATAAATCAAAACTTTTGAATATTAGAAAGGCAGTACAGTGCATGTAGAGTATTGTGCATATACTGCCAGTGGGGTTTGAGATAGCACCCCGTACTCAAAATACACTATTTTTATGGAAAAATGCATGAATATTTACCATAAGTGTATTAAACTAAGTCTGTTAATTGCCTCAGCTCAGTTCAAGTCATATTTTCCCACCAAGTTAGCTTTGAAAAAAACTGACTTTGAGAGCTTTTCTGATTTGGTGATTGCCTATAATGGATTGTGGACCTGTACTTGTCATTAGCTTTTTACTTTTAATCAAATTGATCCACAGAGGGAAAGGCACATTCTCAATGGATATTTCCTTGGAAGTTTCTCTGATGAAATATTGTGTAGGTGATGGCTCCTGCCTGTGTTTGTTTCATATTCTTTTGTCTTACTCTTTGCAGGGATTCAAGTAGGTGTCTTTTCTTATATTGTTTTTCCTTATAGTATCCTTTCCTTCTAAATGTGTGCTCTGATAGAACCAAAGTAGCAAATGCTAAAGAATATACACATGACAAAGCCAAACAAGTCTGTAATGTGGATAATCTGTATTAATAAATGCTCACAAGATAGGGACATATATTGATTATATTATAAACTACACCATTAAATCACTGTAGGTGAAATAACTCCAAAAATGTGCATTCATTTTTTGTCAGTCCTTAGTCCTGCTAAATGTCTCTGACTTCAGGCCAAGGTCAAACATTCAGCATATCTGACTGCCAGGAGTGGTTGAATCTCCTGGGTGTTAAATGTGCAGTTTCCCAAAGTCTCAGACTTCTGGAATCAGCATTCGTAATGGAGGAACCCAGCAAGTCTCATGTTTAATAAGTGATCTGCAGACATTTCTTTGTCCCTCTGGAGAACCAGTGCTCGAGTAAAGGTCAATCTGTCACAGCTCTGAAGGCTGTAATCCAGGCCTAGGTCAAATGAAGTAGCATTGGACTGATTTGTCTCTTAGGACAAAGTTCTTTTTGTTTGGTTTGAACTGGATGGAGAATAGAAGAAAAAAAAATGACTCAGTCATGTTTAGAAACAAACCAATTCAATGTGGGGGTAGGAAAAATAATTTTCTTTCTACCCTTCTAGGTTTTTGCCTGAGATGCCCTTGTTATAAAAGACATATTTACAAAAGAAAAACAAACAGCTGTTGAATAAAATATATACCTCTGCTGTACATGGGAGAGACACAGTGGAACAGAGTAACTCCTTGAAATGGTCTAAGCCATCTCCTTAAATACCGTCTCCCGCTAGAGATAAAGGGAGATGTTGGGGAGGGAGGCGTGACTTATGGGAAATGGCAAAGAAAAAGCACAGTAAACAATAGTAAGGTTGTTACACAGATTTAAGTCCTTGCCTTCTACATGGAAGAGCTTCTAGAGATTTAGTCATCCTCCTCTTCCTGGTACTCAGAGGGAAACACCCATACAAATGGAGTTTCCTTTAGTAATGTAAATGTCCCTTACAAAAGGATAACTTCTACTCAGTTTTCAGAGCTTTTTCTGTGTCTGCTGTTTCTTAAAAATAGTCAGCCTAATATAATCCTTAGGCCAAAGAGACATATTTTTGCTCCCTTTCAAAATCAAAGGGAGGTGGAGAGCCTAGGGGTGACAATATTGATTGGGCTGCCAGATAAATACAGGATACCTAGTTAAATGTTAATGTCAGCTAAGCATTGAATAATGTTCTAATATAAATATATCCTAAATATTGCATGTAACATAAGTATACTAAAACATTATTCTTTGTTTATATGAAATTCATGTTTAACTGGGCATCCGGCATTTTTATTTGCTAAATCTGAATGCTGGGTATTGATTAACTCACAATCTTCATAGGAGGTAAACCAGATGACATTTATGTACTTGTTCTTTTATTTAAAATATATTTTATTTCATTGATTATGCCATTATAGCTGTCCCATTTTTTATCTCCTTTATTTCCCTCCACCCTGTACACCCCTCCCACCATCATTCCCCCACCTTAGTTCATGTCCATGGGTCATACATATAAATTCTTTGGCTTCTCCAATTCCCATACTATTCTTAACCTCCCCTGTCTATTTTGTACCTACCATTTATGCTACTTATTCCCTGTGCCTTTCCCCCTATTCTTCCCCCTCCCCCTCCCCACTGATAACACTCCATGTGATATCCATTTCTGTGTATCTGTTCCTGTTCTAGTTGTTCGCTTAGTTTGTTTTAGTTTTTTACCTTTTTTTAGGTTCGGTTGTTGAAAATTGTGAGTTTGTTGTCATTTTACTATTCGTATTTTTTATCTTCTTCTTTATCTTAGATAAGTCCCTTTAACATTTCAATATAATAAGGACTTGTTGATGATGAACTCCTTTAATTTTACCTTATGTGGGAAGCACTTTATCTGCCCTTCCATTCTAACTGATAGCTTTGCTGGATAGAGTAGTTTTGGATGTAGGCCCTTGCCTTTCATGACTTTGAATTCTTCTTTCCAGCCCCTTCTTGCATGCAAGGTTTCTTTTGAGAAATCAGCTGATAGTCTTATGGGCAATCCTTTGTAGATAACTCTCCATTTCTCTTGCTGCTTTTAAAATTCTCTCCTCTTTAATCTTGGGTAATGTAATTATGATGTGCCTTGGTGTGTGCTTCCTTGGGTCCAACTTCTTGGGACTCTCTGAGCTTCCTGGACTTCCTGGAAGTCTATTTCCTTTGCCAGATTGGGAAAGTTCTCCTTCATTATTTGTTCAAATATGTTTTCCATCTCTTCCTCTCTCTTTTTTCTTTCTGGTACCCCTGTGATTCGGATGTTGGAACATTTAAGGTTGCCCCGGAGGTTCCTAAGCCTCTCTTCATTTTTTTGAATTCTTATTTCTTCATTCTGTTCTGATTGAATATTTTATTTCTTCCTTGTGGTCCAAACCGTTGATTTGAGTTCTGGTTTCCTTCCTGTCACTGTTGGCTCCCTGTATATTTTCCTTTATTTCACTTTTCATAGCCTTCACTTTTTCCTCTATTTTGTGACTGTACTCAACCATATCAGTGAGCATCCTGATTACCAGTGTTTTGAACTGTGCATCTGATAGGTTGGCTGTCTCTTTATCCTTTAGTTGTATTTTTTCTGGAGCTTTTACCTGTTCTTTCATTTGGGCCATATTTTTTTGTTTTGGCATGCCTGTTACATAGTTATGGGTTGGAGCTTTAGGTGTTCATCAGGGCAGGGCAACCCACTTCGCTGCATGTGGGGGAGGGATCTGAGAGGGAACAATGGTGCATGCTCAACTCTCTGCAGACTTTCAGGCACTTCTTCTGCTACCCACAAGCAGATTGGACCCTTCTGGTGCTGATTCCTGGATGGGTGGGTTTGTGTACGTTCTAGGATCCTGAGAATCTCTCCAAGGAACTCTCCTGTAAGGCTGGGAGTTTCTCCTGCTACCTCAACCCCCACAGGTTTTTTCAGTCAGAGGTTTTGAGGCTTTATTTCCCCGCTCTGTAACCCTGGGTTGTGTGGTCTGTCTCGCACCCCAGTTGTTCCTCCTGGTGTATCTGCATGGAAATGTGGGACTGCCCACACTGCCAGCCGCTGCCTTGCCACTGGTCCTCTTCACCTGGCTGCCGGTCTCTGCCCCTCCTGGTAGTCTGTATGAATGTTTCTTCTTCAACTCCTTGGTTGTTGGACTTCCATACAGTTCAGTTTTCTATCCATCTGGTTTTTGTTTTTAAATTTGTTGTTGTCCTTCTTCTGGTTGTGCTAGGAGGCAAAGTGTATATACCTATGCTTCCATCTTGGCCAGAAGTCTGTGTACTTGTCCTATGTTCAAAATCTCTTTGTATTTGTCTTGGGTTGAAAGATTCTCTGACTGGCTACTTGTCTCCTATTGAGGTGTTGAAAACTGAGTCTTATTTTAGAGGTTAAGAGGAAGTGTTCCAGAGTTTAAGAGGGCCTAAGAAAGGTTTCTCTGTCTCCTTCCCTTACTCTCCATCTCTGACCCTCTCCCTCCCATTGCACACACATACACATTCAAACATACACACATTTAGATGCATTTGCAAACACAAACATGTTTAGAAAACTACCTGCTTGCCTTTTTAATTTTTATATTACATTTTCTGTGTTAGGATTTGGTGCTTGTTGTTGTTATTGTTATTGTTGTTGTTGTTGTTGTTGTTGTTGTTGTTGTTATTATTATTATTATTATTATTATTATTAAGGAATCATTGTCTGACTGGATCTAACATTTCTTTTAATACTCATACTGAATTCATTTTCCATTGCAGATTTTTCTCCTGGCCTGCCCTCCATGTCCGGGAGCTATCATCATCTTCAAGTAAGGGAAAATTGGTTTTTACACTGTTGCCACTGCTATTCAGACTGCTTTGTCTGTTTGATAACCTAGGATGATGGGCTCATTGCTGTGAAAGCCATGGGCCTGCACTGCTTTGTCTCTATGCATCCCAAGGGACAAAAGTCTGTGAGGTCTCAGTGAAACAGGAATCTATTGTATGTGGAGATCTGGCTTTTGTCAAGCCCTGACAAATCCTTTTTAGCTATTCCTTGTGGTAGTGGTTTATTGCCAAGGCCTGCTCCCTTGGAAGTTTGCTGCCTTCCTAAACTTCTGCTTGAGAGCAAGCTGGGGACAAGACATTTTATCTCATCTCAAGATTCTTTTCTTTATGGTCCTGTCACTTCAGTGAGGATATGTCTTCACTTTGAAGGCCTTTGTTGTTGTGTTTTATGTTTTTTTTTTTCCCTTTAAAGTGAGGAGAGAAAAATATCACCTTATTACAAGTCCTGGCTTTCTTAAAAATAGCAAGCATTAAATCCATTAAAGTGAATTTCAGGCAAATTGTGTTTATCTGAAGGCAAGTTTGCTTAAATAAAATTCTTAAGAGTCCTGGAACCTTTATTGCAACTATAAGTTTTGACAATCTCATTTATTAAGCCTTTCTTAGAGTTGCTAATGGGAAGCCAAATTGACCGAATTAATGTCATCTCTTTTCTCCTTCCCTGACCCCATTTTGGAGCTCTTCCTAACCAGTGAAATGGCCACAGGCCAGGGGCAGGGGACAGGAAGTAAAGAGCCCAGAAGATCCTTGGATAATTGAGAGTGATATAAATGGCTTTCTGATATACTGAAATCATTAAAGTGTTATGTAGAGGAAAATATACTATATTTGCTGCTTTAAATAGCTTCTTGCAGTGGCCACCCAGTCTCTTGGCTTTGGTGAGTAACTTTCTGCTGAATGAGGGGTAATGGAATTTGATTTCATGTATCTCCCACTTGGACAGCTCCTGAGTAAAAGGGGTATTTAACACGGTTTCCTTCCTTGATTTTCCAAAATGAGCTCTATTTTTTAGTGTGATGTTTTCAAAGTAACATATATTCATTTTATTTCTTTATTATGAAGGTAAAATTCTCATTATAGAAAATGCAGGGACATATAAGAAGAAAATAAACATCACCTTTAATCCTATCATTAAGAGATAATTTTTGTTATTTCATTTCTTAATAAGGAGAGATCCCCTTTAGCATTTTTACTGTATCTTGTCTAAACTTAATTCATTTTATATATACCATATTTTGCTGTGTATAATGTGTACTTTTTTCACCCAAATTATTGAGGGAAAAATAAGAATGTGCATTATACATAGGTAGTACTAGTTCTGTATCTATATTAACAGTTTTTACTTGTTATGTATGTTTATGTGTTAAAAGTGGAACTCTAGAAAGCAATAATGATATTCATATGCAAAACAATACCCTGGAATAGAATAATCGGTTTTGTTTCTAAATATAAATAAGTAAATAATTGAATTAAAAAATTAAAATGAGATTTTTTTTTCTGAAAGTTTGGGAGAAAAACGTGGGTGTGCATTATCCTCGGCAAAAATATGGTTCATTTTATACATAAAATACATAAATATTACTGCTGGATTTCTTTTTTTATAGTTGCCTTTTTTTTCCTTTTCCTTGTTTTGTTTGGCTCCTCTATGTTTCCATGACGTCCTTGTATATTAACATACAAGTATGTATCCTTTCATATTTTTTCATGTTCATATGTGTATACAGACACATACACAATTACACAGGTTTTTGTTCATTATTTTATAAACATAGAATTTTATATATAATTTAATACATTTTGCTTTTTTCACTCAACAGTATCTCATTGAATTCTATCAAAGTCTATTGGTATAGATCTTACTCTTTTAAAACAAGGGTTCAGAATATTTTATAGAGGTACAACAACCTATTTAGCCATTCTCCTATTAATGAACACTTACATTCGTTCTTTCCAGATTTCTGCCACTGTAATCAATACTGAAATACACATCCTTGTGCATATGCCCTTATATACTGGTGCTATATACAAAAATTTATATGTACACATATACACACATGTGAATTGTTATATATAAATGTATATATATATTGATGTATTTGTCCATATTGATTTACAAAAACAGGCTATTATAATTTACCTTTTGTATGTAATATATGAGATTATTCTTTTCTTCATATCCTTAGCAGCATAAGGTGTTATAGTTCTTTTATAATTTTATAATTTACTGGATGAATTTCCTTGATTACTAATGTATTTCATTACTATACTTTTTTGTCCAATTAAATTTGCTTTTTGAATTATCTGTTCACATTATCTGCCCATTTTTATGGGTTTTTATATTTTTCTTAATTTGTAACACCTCTTCGGATATTTTAGTTATTGGCTCTTTGTCTATCATTGTTATAGATAATCTCTCCCAAATCTGTATGTGTTGAAAAATATACCATTCGCTAATGGTATATTTTTTCCACATTTTTTTTTTACTTTTTCATATCCAAATGACTCTTATTATGTAAGTTCTGGTTTCCAGCCTTGGTTAAGACTATTTTCTTTTTTTTTTTTTTAAAGATTTTATTTGTTTATTTTTAGAGGGAAAGGGAGGGAGATAGACAGAAACAGAGAGAGAAACATCAATGTGCGGTTGCTGGGGGTTATGGCCTGCAACCCAGGCATGTGCCCTGGCTGGGAATCGAACCTGGGACACTTTGGTTCCCAGTCCGTGCTCAATCCACTGAGCTATGCCAGCCAGGGCTAAGACTATTTTCTTAAAGGTGGATAACCAGTTATAGTAGCATAAGATATGAAATAATCCCTACTATTCCCTGTGAACTGAACTACCTACCATCTTTGTCATCTCATGAACTTTTTAAAATTCAATTTATTGGGGTGACATTGGCTAATAAAATTATATGGATTTCAGATGTACAATTCTATAATACATCACTTGTATATTGTATGGTGTGTTCACTATCCAAAGTCAATCTCCTTCCACTATCATAAATTCACCCTTCATCCTCTTCTACCTCCCCCACAGTCCTCTTTCCCTATGGTAATCACCATACTGTTGTCTGTATAAGGTTTTTTTGTTTGTTTGTTTAGTCTCTTCACCTTTTTTCCCCAGCCCTCTAATCCCCACCCCTCTAATGGCTGTCAGTCTGTCCTCTGATTCTATGAGTCTGTTTATATTTTGTTAGTTTATTTTGTTCATTAGATTTCACATATAAGTGAAATCATATGGTGTTTGTCTTTCTCTGACTGGCTTTATTTCACTTAGCATAATACTCTCCAGGTCCATCTATGCTGTGGCAAAAGGTAAGATTTCTTTTTTATGGCTGAGTAGTATTCCATTGTGTAAATGTACCCATGCTTTTTTATACACTAATATACTGATGGAAACATGGGCTACTTTCAAATCTTGGCTATTCCAAGTACTGCTGCAGAGAACATAGGATGTATATATTCTTTTGAATTAATGTTTTTGCATTTCTTTGTATATAGTCCCAGAATTTATTTTGCTGGGTCATAAGATAGTTTCATTCTTCCTTTTTTTTATTGTTGTTCAGTTACAATTGTCCTCATTATCTCCCCATTACTCTCCTCGGCCCTCCCCTCCCCCACCTCCCACATTCAATCCTATCCCCCATTGTCTTTGCCCATGGGTCCTTTATACATGTTCCTTGGAAACCCTTCCCCTTCTTTCCCCCGTTATCCCCCTCCCACCACTCCTCTGGTCACTGTCAATTCTTTATTTCCATGTCTCTGGTTCTATTTTGCTTGCTTGTTTGTTTGTTGATTACGTTCCACTTACAGATGGGTTCATATGGTATTTGTCTTTCACAGCCTGGCATACTTCACTAAGCATAATACTCTCCAGACAGTTCCATTTTTAAATGTTGAGGGAACTCTATACTCTTTTCTACACTGGATGTACAAGTCTGCATTCCCACCAACAGTGCATGAGGGTTCTTTTTTCTCCCCATTTGAGCCGACACTTGTTGTTTGTTGATTTATTGATGATAGGCAGTCTGACAGACGTGAGTTCATATCTCACTGTGGTTTTAACTTGTATTTCTCTGATGATTAGTGATGTTGAGCATCTTTATTGGCCATCTGTATGTCCTCTTTGGAGAAGTGTCTATTCAGGTCCTTTGGCCATTTTTTAATTAGATTGTTTGTTATTTTGGTGTTGAGTTGTATAAGTTCTTTATAAACTTTGGATATTAACCCCTTATGAGTTGTACCATTGGTGTATAAGTTCTCCCATTTAGTAGATTTTTCATTTTGTTCATGATTTCCTTTCCTGTGCAAAAAATTTTTAGTTTGATGTAGTCCCATTTATTTATTTTATCTTTTGTTTACCTTGCCTGAGGGGATATATCAGAAAAAAAATGTTGGTATGAGAAATGTTCAAGATTTTACTGCTTATCTTTTCTTTTAAGATTTGTATGGTTTTGAGTCTAATATTTAAGTCTTTAATCCATTTTGAGTTTATTCTTGTGTATGGTGTATAACAAGGTGGTATAGTTTATTTTTTCTTGTATGTGTCTGTCCATTTTTCTCAACAATTTATTGAATAGTATTTTGTTACCCCATTGTATCTTCCTGCCTCCTCTGTCAAATATTAATTGGCTATAAAGGTGTGCATTTATCTCAGGGCTCTCTATTCTGTTCCATTGGTCTATGTGTCTGTTCTTATGCCACTCCCAGGCTCTTTTGATTAATATAGACTTGTAGTACAGTTTGATATCAGGTAACATGATTCCTCCATCTGTTCCATCTAAAATTTTGAAGCATTTGTTCTATTTCTGTAAAATGTGTCATTGGAATCTTGATAGGAATTGCATTCAATCTATAGATTGCTTTGGGTAGCATGGACATTTTAATGATGTTAATTCTTCCTATCCACTAACACAGTATATGCTTCCCCTTATTTGTATCTTCTTCATTTTCTTTATTTAGTGTCTTATAATTTTTCAAGTAC